AAACACCTGCTCTGAGCCTCATTAACATACCTGAGCATCAAAACAACAATATATACACAACTCACTGAGTCTCAACGGCTTCTGCTCATAATGGGATATTCATGTGCAAATGATGTCCGTTTGAATTATTAACGCTAACTAGAACAGCAATAGCGTAATATTAAACGTGATGTTAATGTCCCTTCTGTCTGCATCAGTGACGTCTGACTAGGTTTCAGTGGTTATGGAAAACCTGGAAATGTTAAAATTGGGGTTTCCAGGCCTGGAAAGATACAATAATTAATACAAATTAAGTTAAATAATACCATTCAATAAAATAAATAATTATTAAATTAAAATAATAGTTGAAAATCTTATGCAGATGTTTTTGACCGCTTTCTTGTGTCAGAACATAGATTTGACTTATTTGTCATTGACTTACATTGTATAGTTGTGTTTTTAGTATTATTTGTATACTGTTATAGTAATTATTAATATTTTTAGTTCAGATTTCATTTGAATTTTTAGTAGTTTTAGTCATTTTGTTAGGTGCTTTTGTTGTTTTTACTGATTTTTTAAGGTTAATAAATAATTAAATGAATTGTTAAATTAAAATACAGTGAATAAAACGGATACAAATTAGTAACAATTAAAAATTTAAATAAGTTAACATTTAAATAAACGTCTGAAAAGGCAATGAAAATTCATATGTAATCAGCCGGAAAGTACTTGTGGTGTCTGTAATTGTTATAATTTTTTTTTTTTTAAATAATAAATTAAGAGATCCTTTGGCAGTAATCATAAATGATGGGCAAAGTCAACATTTTCAGGCAAAAAGTGTCTGAAACTTGTTTTTCAACTGGGAATAGGTACGTTTTATTTTTTTTAACTTCACATCTTAAATTGTTGCTGTTTTTCTGAAGGGAACTGGTGTCTCATACGAAATCTCTGGATTCCTCTCGGCCGGTCACGTACATCACAGCCAGCAACTATGCCAGAGATCTAGGGGTGAGACATCTCTTTTTACATTTTATACATGTATTTTTGAGCAATTTCTGTGTTGCAAAGTAACCCTTTCACACCAGTACAGTAGATCTGCGTCATTCAAACACAGTCAGTCTCTGGGTAAATTTACTCTAGATTACTCCCACAGTTAACTGTGTTCACTCGCACACTTCACTCGCTATGTGCTTCCTCATGCCGAACACACCTTATTTCAACTTGTACTCCCTTTAGGTCTCATTCTAGTGAGTGTTTAATATGAATAAATCTCTGTGACGTCAAGCTGAAAAGATTCACCTTCACTTAAAAACACCAGCTGTGTATCTAAGCGTCTGCACTATACTGTAAAAAAAATAATAATTTGATTTTTCAAAGTTTGTTTCAAAATAAAACAAAGGTTATTGGAGTGCGTTTTACAAGAAAATACAATTTCTTGTAAATTGCTTAAAAATTATGCAAATCAGATCTTTTGTCATAAGGATACTTATATTTTATGCATATATAGATATTTATTATTAATTCATTTATTATTTGTCTTTCATCTTCTAAATGTCATGTGTTGCCTTTTTTGTAATTATTTGTGAAATATACTAGCAATTTCTGAGTGAAAATTGCCTCAACAATTTTTGAGTGTATATATATATTCATAGATAGATAGATATAACATTAATATAGATACATAATATATATCTATCATATTTATAGATGTACTGTATATATGTATTTAATTTGATAAATTATGCGTCTTTTGTCAAGAATATTTAGATTTTTTTATATATTTAGATATTTATTATTAATACATTAGTTATTTGTCTTTCATCTAAATTTCATGTTTAATTCAATGTGTTACTTGCCTTTTTTGTAATTATTTGTGAAATTTACTTGCAATTTCTGAGTGAAAATTGCCTCTACAACAATTTTTTTATGTATATTTGGAGGTATATGTATTCATAGATAGATAGATATAACATTAATATAGATACATAATATATATCTATATCATATATATATATATATATTTGGAAAATCTTTTCAATTAGGCATCTTTTGTGAAGAATATTTAGATTTTGATATATTTAGATATGTATTATTAATACACTTGTTACTTTTTTTTGTTAATTCACTGAAGAAATTAAGCAAATCAGATATTTTGTCTTAAGAATTATTTATATTTTACCTATATATAAATATTCATTATTGATACACTTATTTGTCTTTGAACTTCGAAATTTCACATTTAATGTAATGTGTAAATTTCTAGCAATGTCTCGGAGTTAAAACTCTTTCTACACGTTTTTTTTCAGTGTGTTGTTGGAGATCAACACTGGAGATATGTCATGATCTTTACAGTTACACAGGCTGTTGATGCTGTATCTTTCAGATTTCTAAATGTTCTAAATGCAATGTTTTAAGTGGCTAACCTTTGTGCATATGAACAGATTGCTTTAGTTTTGATAAGTGAGCTGTATGAATAGCAGAGGGAGTATTTGCTGATTTGCTGTGTTCTGCTGGTCAGGCTCCGTATGTGGATGTTATCTGCGTGAACAGCTATTTGTCGTGGTATCATGACCCGGGTCACACAGAGCTCATCAGTCTTCAGCTCAACACTCAGTTTGATGACTGGTACGGCAAATACCAGAAGCCCATCATCCAGAGCGAGTACGGAGCGGACGCCGTGCCCGGCCTACACAGCGTGAGTCCTAAACACACAGATGCCATTAATAACGCTTCGTTTTAACTCTAAAATAAGAAACGAATCGTCACGAGACCCCGTTTTAGATGGACGTTTCAGTAAATGTCTAGCCTGTGTCTGGATACACAAGGGACGAATGAATTGCAGGCGCCGATGGCATCATTTATTTACATGTGCTGCCTGTGTTATTTTAACATTTGAACCACTAGGAATTATGCAAATTAGGTCTTTTGTCATAAAATATATTTTTTTTTATACTGCAGGCTGGTCCCCACAATGTCAAAAATGTCAGTACACACACACACACACACACACACACACACAAAAAAAATATATATATATATACACACACTAAGTTTGGAATCAGAACAGTTTTTTATGTTTTTTACAGGAGTGTCTTCTGCTCATCAAGGCTGCATTTATTTGATCAAAAATACAGGAAAAAATTTTATATTATGATGTAAAATAACGTTTTTCTATTTCAATATACATTCAAATGTAATGTATTTCTGTGATGCGCAGCTGTATTTTCAGCATCATTACTCCAGTCTTCAGCGTCACATGATCTTCAGAAATCACTATAATATTCTGATTTATTATCAGTTGTGCTGCTTCATATTGTTTTGGAAA